TCTATTCACATTGGTGCGCGCTGCACACGGTTTAGTTAGAAATGAATTGGAGAAAGGTAGCAGCAGCTGGTGTAGTTTCTGCCCCCAGTAATGATGGAGGTTTCTGGTGGGAAGGGCCAGGTGGGTTCCCATGCAGCCCCCCCAATTCCTGATCACTGTCTATAGCAGGGGCGGACTGACCATTTGGGAACTCGGGCACTGCCCGAGGGCCCGGGGTCAGTAGGGGGCCCCATGAGATGCCCCTGGTGCCTTTCATAGGCTTTTTTGGGTGTGGTTTGAGTGTGGGCGAGGTCACAGGGGCCCCATGATCCCCTGCTGCCTGGGGGCCCCATGAGTTGTCAGTCCTCCCCTGGTCTATAGGCAATGCTAGAGACATGTAGGAGGGGGGCAGTAAGGTGTGCATGGATGCAGCCAGAACAATGTGAAAACCGCAGTAAGCTGCAGCAAACAATCAGATAACATCTTTCGCTCTCTTCTGACTACAGTACGCTGAACTCTGATTGGTTGCTACAGATTACAGCATATTGCACATCGCCCCCCCCCCCCCCCCCCCCCCCCCCCCCCCATCCTGCTTGTCTTAGTGAATAAACTTGATCATGTGCAAGACTGTGATCACTCCTCTCCCAGGGGCTACTCATGCACTTTCCACCAGTTCACACGAGCACTCCCCCATTCTGTAAGATATTCATACTTCTGACATCAGCCTAGCTAAAGAGAGAGAGAAGGAGGAGAATAACAGAGAGGAGAAGAGAGATGGAGGAGAATAGAGAGGAAGAGAGATGGAGGAGAATAGATAGAGGAGAGAGAGATGGAGGAGAATAGAGAGGAGAGAGAGATGGAGGAGAATAGAGAGAGGAGAGAGATGAGGAGGCGAATAGAGAGGAGAGAGAGATGGAGGAGAATAGAGAGGAGAGAGAGAAAGAGGAGAATAGAGAGAGGAGAGAGATGGAGGGAGAATAGAGGAGTGAGAGAGAGATGGAGGAGAATAGAAGAGAGAGAGATGGGGAGAAATAGAGAGGAGAGAGAGATGGCGGAGAATAGAGAGATGAGAGAGAGATGTGAGGAGAATAGTAGAGGAGAGATGAGGAGATAAGAGAGAAGGAGGGAGAGAAATAGAGTAGAGCGAGAGGGAGAGATGGAGGAGAATAGAGAGAGAGAAGAGAGAGAGATGGAGGAGAATAGAGAGAGGAAGAGAGATAGGGAGAATAGAGAGGAGAGAGAATAGAGAGAGAGAAGGAGAGAGAGATGGAGGGAGAATAGAGAGAGGAAGAGAGAGAGAGGAGAATAGAGAGGAGAGAGAGATGGAGGAGAATAGAGAGGGAGGAGAATAGAGAGAAAGGATGAGATGAGGAGAATAGAGAGGAGATAGAGAGAATGGAGGAGAATAGAGAGACGGAGAAAGAGAGAAGAGATGGAGGAGAATGAGAGAGAAAAGAGGAGAGAGAAGATAGAGAAGAGAGAGATGGAGGAGAATAGAGAGAGGGAGAGAGAGATGGAGTGACAGAAATATAGAGAGAGAGAAGAGAGAGAGAGGATAATAGAGAGAGTAAAGAGATGGAGGAGAGATAGAGAGAGATTGGAGGAGAAATAGAGAATGGAGAGAGGAGAATAGAGAAAGAGAGATGGGGGAGAATGGAGAGAGGAGAGAGAGATGGGGAGAATAGAGAGAGGAGAGAGAGAGGAAGGAGTAATAGAGAGGAGAGGGGAGTAGAGAGAGAGATAAGAGAGGGGAGAGAGATGGAGGGGAGGGAGGGAGTAAGAGGGAGAGAGGAGGAAATAGGAGAGAAGATGGAGGAGAGGGAGGAGGAGATAGAGAGGGAATAGGAGAGAGAGAGATGGAGGAGAAAGAGTCGATGTAGGAGGATAATAAGGAGATTAGAGAGGAGAGGGAGAGAGATGGAGAGATAGTGATGATAGCCCTGGAGAGGAAAAGAGAGGAGATATAGGAGAATAGAAGGGAGAGAGAAGGAGATCGAGAATAGAGAGAGAGAGAAAATGAATAATTGGAAAGAAATACGAGAGAGAGGAGAGGAGAGATGAAGGAGAATAGAGAGGGAAGAGAGATGGAGGCAAATGAGAAGAAGAGAGAGAGAATAAGAGAGGAAAGGAGAGGAGGGATAGAGAAGGGAGAGATGGAAAAAGGAGAGGGGAGAGATGGAGGAATAGAGAAAGAGAATGGAGAGAATAGAGAGAGGAGAGGATGAGGAGAATAGAGAGAGGAGAAGAATGGGTAAGAATAGAGTAGATGGAGAGGAGAGGATGGAGGAATAGAGAGGGAGGAGGATTGGAAGAATGGAGAGGAAGAGGATGGAAGAGCGGGGGAAAAGAGGATGAGGAAGGAAGGAAAGAAGAGTGAAGGAAGGAAGAAAGAAGGAGAGGAAAGATGGATGAGATAGAAGATGCTAGAGCGAAAGCCTGCGGAGCCAGGCTCTGTGCCCCCCCCGTCCCGCTCTCTCGCATTCTGTCTCCAAGGAGCTCTAGCGTCGCCTCTCGCAGTGTAGCTCTTCCCCAGGAAAGCTCAATTCGTCGAAGTCCTTGCTCTCTCCACTCTCTCAGTCCTCGCCAAGAACTGTGAGCGGAGAAAGTGCTTCTTCCCCCTCGCCCCCGCGAAGTTTCTTCTCCACTACCCTTTTCCCACGCGGCACTCTCTCGATCCCCGTCTTCTCCACTCGAGTCCCCCTTCTCCACCCCCCCCCCCCTCATTCCCGCCCCCCCCCCCGCCTCCCCCCCCCCCCCCCCTCCCTCTCCCCTCCCCCCTTCCCCCCCCTCTTCTTTCTCCCACCCCCACCCCCCTGTCACTCTTCTCTCCCCCCCCACACCCCCCTCCCTCCTCCCCCCTATCCCCACCGTCCTGCCTCCCACCTCCTCCCCCCCCCCCACCCCCTTGCCCCCCCCCCACCCCCCCCCCCTCCCCTACTCCTCCCCCCCCATCTCCCCCCCCCCCCCCCCTCCCCCCCCCCCCCCCCCCCCCCCCCTCCCCCGCCCCCTCCTCCCCCCTCCCGCTCCCCCCCCCCCCCCCCCCTCCCCCCCCCCACCCCCCCCCCCCCCCCCCCCGCCCCCCCCCCCTCCTCCCCTCCCCCCCCCCACCGTTCCCCTTCCCCCCCCCTCGCTCGCCCTCCTTCCCGCCCCCCCTCCCCCCCACCCCGCCCCTCGCCCCCCCCCCCCCCCCCCCCCCCCCCACACCCCTCCCCCCCCTCCCCCCTTCCCCCCCCCCCCCCCCCCCCTCCCCCCCCCCCCCCCCCCCTCCCCCCCACCCCCCCCCCCCCCCCCCCCTCCCCCTCACCCCCCCCCTCCCTCCCCCCCCCCCCCCCCCTCCCCCCCCTCCTCTCCTCCCCCCCCCCCCCTCCCCCCCCCCTCCACCCTCCCTCCCCCCTCCCCCTCCCGCTCCCCCCAGCCCCCCCCCCTCCCCTCCTCGCCCACCCACCCCCCTTCTCCCCCCCCCCCCCCCCTCCCGTCCCACCTCCCCCCCCCTCTCCCCCCCCCCCCCCCCCCGCCCCCCCCCCCCCCGCCCGGTCCCCCCCCCCCCCCCCCCCCCTCCCCTCCGGGCCCCTCTCTGCGCCTCTTCCCCTCTCCTCCACGCTCGTGCTTTTCCCTCCAGCACCAGCCCTCTCTCCCCTCACTGCCTTTTCCCTCCTCCTCCATTCCACTCTGCTCCATGAACCCCCCCAGCCATGTAGCCGCCCACCCCCCCCCAACATATGAAACCTGCGTTAAATGTCCTCCCCCCACCCCTCCACCCCAACCCCCCGTAACCCTCCTCCCCAGGCACTCCCTTCACTGTCCCCCCACGCCACCACCATACCCCCACCCCCAGCTCCCCACTATAAGGGTCCCCCGTAAATCCCGCAGGACCGACCGAACCCTCCAGCACTAATGCCTCCCCCAGCCCAATTCATCCTCCACCCCCTTTCACTCCACCACTCACGGAACGAAGCCCGCACTCGTACGACACAGTCCTGCAAGCAAGCCACGCACGTGCCCCCCCCCACCAAACGAAAGAAAGAATAGACTCGAGTCTCACTATCACTCAATTCACGTCAATGATAGACTCCCCCAAAGTCACTCACGCTATACTGACGAACCCACCACAACAGACATGACATCCCCCACCACTGTAGGAATACAACCGGCCACACAGTGACCAACGTAGCTGGCTCCTACCACTACCAATCCTGCGATCAATCATTGCATTATGCTACCCACCAACGCGTAGGCTCCCAGTCAATGGCAAGAGGGATGTGAATAGCTCATGGGACCTTGATGGAGATTGTGCAGAATGGATCATGGGCCCCTGGTCAGGTACGCTACATGCGCCTGACTCAGATTGTAAAAGATGAATATGAAATAGAGGTATACCAGGGCATTAGAGTGAGCCCCCTACCCCCCCCAGCCCCAGTCATCCAAATGTTCAGTCCGCTCTGTGCCCTTAGCAAGCGGAGGGAACAATTTGTGACTGTATGGAGGATGTTACAGTCCTTCCATCTGACCAGCATGATCCAAGGAAGGCCTCAGCTCTGCAACCGCTCATGGACCAACCCCCACCGATGTATTATACACAAAATTGCCATTGAAAAAATTTAAAAATCGCCATGAAGTGCGTCCGCCTGCTCATGGATATTCAGGAGGTTTAAACACTTTCGTCTCCTGGGTGGGGTACAGAGAATCACCCGAAGGGCAATCAATTAATTAATCCCACAGACAGGTGGAGTGCGGAATCGTATGACAGCTGTGCAGGGCCAGGCCTGTGACACAACCGACGTGTGAATGGATCCGGGATGCGGTCTATGGGGATATCAGGAGGGGAATGGCGAGGAATCGATCATCGCCCCAGATGAATGCGGACATCACCGGAGAACACACAAGGGAGGCTGACACCCGTGAGACGGGCCGGCTATGGACTACACTGCGCAATGGACGGCTCTACACTGAACGCAGCAGAGCGCAGGCCCTGAGCCAGTGGGAGGACTGACAACTCATGGGTCCCCCGGGCAAGAGGGATCATGGGGCCCTGTGTCCTTGCCCACACTCAAAAAAGCCTATGAAAAAGGTAACCAGGGGCATCTCATGGGTGAGTCACACTGAATGAAATGAGTGAATCACACTGAATGAATCACACTGAATGAATCACACTGAATGAAATGAGTGAATCACACTGAATAAAATGAGTGAATCACACTGAATGAATCACACTGAATGAAATGAGTGAATCACACTGAATGAATCACACTGAATGAATCACACTGAATGAAATGAGTGAATCACACTGAATGAATCACACTGAATGAATCACACTGAATGAAATGAGTGAATCAACCTGAATGAAATGAATGAATCACACTGAATGAAATGAGTGAATACTTTTTTTTGTGATTAGCACAGTATTATTTAGAACATCAGAAATAACTTCAGTAAAAGAAATTCCAAATAGTGTTCCCTCTTATATCAGAGTCCCCATCAGACCCCCCCCCCCCTTTACATCAGAATCCCCATCAGAGCTCCCCTTACATCAGAGTCTACCTTAAGAGTCCCCCTTACATCAGAGTTTCCATCACAATTCCCCTTACATGAGAGTCCCCATCAGAGCCCTCTTACATAAGAGCCCCACCTTACGTCAAGATCCCCATCACAGTCATCCTTACCTCAGTGTCCCCATCAGAGCTCCCCTTACATCAGAGTCCCTATCAGACCCCTCCCACTTAACTTCAGTGTCCCCATCAGACCCCTCTTACATCAAAGTCCCCATCAGACCCCTCCCTCCTAACTTCAGAGTACCCATCAGAACCCCCTTACATCAGAGTCCTCCTCAGAGCTCCCCTTACATCAGAGTCCCTCCCTAAATCAGAGTCCCTATCAGACCCCTCCCCCCTAACTTCGAAGTCCCCAACAGGCCCCCCTTACATCAGAGTCTATATCAGAGCCCCCCTTACATCAGAGTCTAGCTATGAGTGAATACATTTTACTCATATTCCTTCTCCTTCACGGCACAGTATACTCTATAATAACACACCAGACTTTATAAAATGAAGTCCTGAACCCCAGTTACAGTTCTCAATAAATGTATTTTTAATGCAGGCTGGTGTAAGTACACGAGTTTGTCTTTGTTTCAGCTTCCTGCAGCATTGAGTAGGGCTGTCAGTCCAACACTGTGGACATGCTTACAGGGAGGGAAGAGCAGAGGGGTGACCTTATCGACCTTCTGCTACTCCTTCATTGTCTGATTAGCAAACTGTAATACAAGCGATGGGCAGCACAGTGGCTAAATGGTTAGTACTTCCTCCTGGCAGTACTCGGGTCATTGGTTCAAATCCCAGCCACAGCACCACCTGCTTGGAGTTTGCATGTTCTCCCTGTGTCTGTGTGGGTTACCTCCGGGTACTCCGGTTTCCTCCCACACTGCTGGTAGGTGAATTGTCTCCTGTCTAAATTGTCCCTAGTATGTGTATGTATGATTGTGAGTTAGGGACCTTAGATTGTATGCTCCTCGGGGGCGGGGACTGATGTGAATGTACAATATATATGTAAAGCGCTGCGTAAACTGACGGTGATATATAAGTATCTGAAATAAATAAATAAATATGAACAGCAAGTATCATGCAGATTCATCCACTGACAAGCAGCTTTTGATCATGAAACAATAGAAACTCTTGAGGACAGGTTCTCTTGGTCTGTTTGGTCTTTTGTTTTATTCTCAGCAGCGGGTGGAAGTCCCCCTTTGTATCTGCCATCATGGCAATATGCCTAACTACAGAGGAGGTCAGGACCTGGCTGTGCTATCTGGCAGGCCTGTCTGGATCACTAAACCGAGCAAACACAGAATTGGAATCCTTTTGCAGGCAGAGAGCTCACATGACTGTATCTGAGCAGCACTGGTGCTACTTTCCTGGTTCAGTTGCTCTTACAAAGAACGTGTGGGGGGGGATGGACTATAAGTCCCAGCATGCAATATACAACACAGACCCTGCACTGTGTACAAACCAAGAGGGCCCCTAGGCAATGGAACGACAACTCTCATCAGATATGGCTGGGCACGATAGTATAATACTACAGAAATATGGGGAAATATCTCATGGGCAGGGGCGGACTGACCATTCGAGCACACGGGCACTGCCCGAGGGCCCGGGGTCAATTGGGGGGCCCCATGAAATGCCTCTGGTACCTTTTATAGGCTTTTTGGGGTGTGCTTTGAGTGTGGGCGAGGACACAGGGGCCCCATGATCTCCTATTGCCCGGGGGCCCCATGAGTTGTCAGTCCGCCCCTGCTCATGGGTGAGATTTTTTTGAGATACCCTTCAAGAATCCCCCATTTCTTAAATTGCAGCCCTTTCGCGTATCTTAGGCTACGTTCATACTAGCCTTGTGTGCAGGCGGCAGAGAGGCGTTTGGGAAGCGTTTTTACCGCTTCCCAAACGCCTCTGCCAACTCTGCACATTACAGCACATGGTGCTGTTCTAACAGGAGCGTTTGCGTCGCGTCGCGTTGCGTCGCGGCAAAACGGACGCCTCTGGTCGAGTCAGGAGGCTTTGAAGCCTCCTATTCTCGTCTATGGTGCCGCTCCGCAAACGCCCGGCCGGCGTTTGCGGTGCGGTTGCGACGCAGTTGCGGGGCGTTTGCGGAGCAGTAACACCACTCAAATGCATTATTGGCGTTTGTGGGGCGTTATTAACGCTCGGCAAACGCCTAGCAACCGCCGCTAAACCGCGCATCGGCGGCGTTTGCGGAGCGTTTGCCGAGCGTTAAAAACGCTCCGCAAACACCGGACCAACGCTTGCCAAACGCTATAGGGGCGTTTGGCAAGCGTTGGCAAAACAGCCTAGTGTGAAAGAGCCCTTACATTTTTGAGAGCAAAGCCTGCTATGTGACATAGGCAGAGTATGAGAGGAAGGGTCCCGCTGCTCTAATAAAGGGCATTGCCCACTGTTTTAGTCAGTACCTTGGGGCCCTTCTTCTCAAAGATAGCACTTTGGGTAGTGAGACCCCAAATCTACTGGAACCCTCATAACCGGGTGGTCCCAGGGAAACTGCTCTATTTGTATTATTGTACTGGCCCGTGGAAACCACACAAGGTACCTCTATGTCATGTAGTCCCACTCAGGTCAAGAAAGGTTGCTGCCCACCATTGTAAATAGTGCAGAAAGGCCTTCCTCTCAAAAGTCCCACAGCATCAACTGCAACTGGGTGGGTCCAAGGCAACTGCACTATTTTTATTATTAAACTGGACCTGTGGAAGCCACATAAGGTACCTCTATGTCATGTGAGGGACTCTTCCTCCTAAAGATCCCACTGGACTGATTATAGTGATGGTTAGAGAGACTCCGGCACTGCTTGGGGGTTTTGGTGGTGAGTCCTCCTAACCTCGTGGGGACAAGGCAACTTCCCTGTTTTTAATATTAAAACTGGGTAGTGAGATCCCAAGTCTACTGGGATCCTCCTAACCTGGCGGTCCCAGGGAAACTGCTCTATTTTTATTATTAAACTGGACCTGTGGAAGCCACACAAGGTACCTCTATGTCATGTGAGGGACTCTTCCTCCTAAAGATTCCACTGGACTGATTATAGTGATGGTTAGAGAGACTCCGGGACTGCTTGGGGGTTTTGGTGGTGAGTCCTCCTAACCTCGTGAGGCCAAGGCAACTTCCCTGTTTTTTAATATTAAACTGGGTAGTGAGATCCAAGTCTACTGGGATCCTTCTAACCTGGTGGTCCCAGGGAAACTGCTCTATTTTTATTATTATACTGGGCCCATGGAAACCACACAAGGTACCTCTATGTCATGTGGTCCCACTCAGGTCAATAGAGGTTGCTGTCCACCATTGTAAATAGTGCAGAAAGGCCTTCCTCTCAAAAGTCCAACAGAACCAACTGCAGTGATAGGCAGCAAGACTCCAGTAATACTGGGGACTTTGGTGGTGGGCCTTCCTAACTAGGTGGGCCCCAGGCAACTGCCGTATTTTTATTATTAAACCGAACTTGTGGAAGCCACACAAGGTACCTCTATGTCATGTGAGGGACTCTTCCTCCCAAAGATCCCACTGCACTGGTTATAGTGATGGTTAGAGAGACTCCGGGACTGCTTGGGGGTTTTGGCGGTGGGTCCTCCTAACCTCGTGGGGCCAAGGCAACTTCCCTGTTTTTAATATTAAACTGCACCTGTCGAAGCCACATAGGGCACCTCTATGTCATGTGGTCCTACTCACACCCATAAAGGCCATTTCATGACACTGTAAGCAGTCCAGAGGGACAATTCCTCCCAAAGGTCCCACTGCACCAATTATGGTGAAGGGCAGTGAGACTCCAGGACAACTGGGTACTCCAGTGTTGGGCCCTCCTGACCTGGTGATCCCAGGGCATCTTCTCCATTTTTATTATTAAATTGGAGCTAAGGAAGCCACACAAGGCTGCTCAAAGTTGTGAGGTCCTATTCGCATCAATAAAGGCTACTGCCTATTGCTGTAAATATTGCAGAAGTACCCTTCCTCTCACAGGTTTCACAGCACCAATTATAGTGATGGGCAGGGAGACTCCAGGAATACTGGGGGCTCAGTTGGTGGATCCTCTAAACTCAGTGGTCCAAGGGCAACTACTTTATTTTTATTATTATACTTGACCCATGGAAGCCACATAAGACGTCTCTATGTAATGTGGTCCCATTCAGGTCATTAAAGGATGCTGCCCATTTCTGTAATCAGTGCAGAAGGATCTTCCACACAAATATTGGGGTCTGTGGTGGTGGACCCTCCTAATCTGGTGTGCCCAGGGCAACTGCCCTAGATTTTATTATTAAACTGGACCTGTGAAAGCCACATAGGGCATCTCTATGTCATGTTTTCCCACTTGCACCCATAAAGGCCACTCCCCATTGCTGTAATAAGACCCTTCTTCTCAAAGTTCCCTCTGCACCAGTTATGGTGAAGGGCAGTGAGATTCCAGGGCAACTGGGTTCTCCGGTGTTGGGGCCTCCTAACCTGGTTGTCCCAGGGCAACTGCTTCAATTTTATTATTAAATTGGAACTGTGGAAGCCACACAAGGCACTTCAAAGTCATGTGGTCCTACTTGTATCAGTAAAGGCCACTGCCAATTGCTGTATGCATTACAGAAGGACCCTTGTTGGGTAGGTACAGCGTGGAGTCCTGGAGTGCCACAAACGATCTATTGCAAAATTTGTATAACAGTACAAACAAGCCCACCTAATGGGACATTTACAATAGTTCATAGTCATCAGTGTGTAGGTCCAAGCTGTGTTCCTCCAGAACCACTCCCTACCAGTAGTGCTGTCCCTACACTAGCCACTTGCAAAACACACTCAAAACACACTCAAAAATGGGGGTAGAGACTTAAAAAGACTCCACATGACCCAAGATGGAAGCCAGAGACACCTGGATTCAGCGCATACAACCGGATCACCGGACCACTGGTCCAGGGGACTGAGGAAACCCAGCTTTCTCTTGACTTCCTCCTCTAGGTACATTACTACTACAGACAAGCCCCACTTGCAGTGGAAATTGTAGACTGCATCTGCCTATACCCTTCTTCTCAAACATCCTACACCCAGGGGCGGACTGACAACTCATGGGGCCCCCGTGCAATAGGGGATCATGGGGCCCCTGTGTCCTTACCCAAACTCAAAAAAGCCTGTGAAAAAGGTACCAGAGGCATCTCATGGGGCCCCCTACTGACCCCGGGCACTAGGGCAGTGCCCGAGTTTCCAAGTGGTTAGTCCGCCCCTGCCTACACCGGTCATAGTTATGGGCAAGGAAACTCTAGGGACTGCTGAGGGGGGGGGTGGTTTGGTGGTGTTCCCTCCTAGCCTGCTGGACCCAGGGTAATTGCCCCATTTTTATTATTAAACTGGACTTGTGGGAGCCACACAAGGCACCTCTAAGTCATGCTGTTCCACTTGTAACAATAAAGCCCATTGCTGTAATCATTCCAGAGGGACTCTTCCTCTCAAAGGTCCCACTGTACCAGGCAGGTGAAAGGCAGCAAGACCTCAGGGCTACTGGGGGGTTCTGGTAGTAGGTCCTTTTAACCTGGTGGTCCCAGAGCAACTACTCCATTTTTATTATTAAACTGGACTTGTGGAAACCACACAAGGCACCTCTAGGTCATTCAATCCTTCTAGTGCCAATAAAGGCCACTGCCCATTGCTTTCATCAGTGCAAAAGGGCCCTGCCTCTTAAAGATCCTACTGCACTTAATATGGTTAAGGGCAGCGAGACTCCAGGACTACTGTGTTCTTTGATGTTGGGCCCTCTGAACGTGGTGGTCCCAGGGCACCATTTATAGTATATTATTAAACTGGACATGAGGAAGCCACACAAGGCACAAGTCATGTGGTCCTACCAGCACCAATAAAGGCCACTGCCCATTGCTTTGAACATCGCAGAAGAACTCTTCCTCTCAAAGGTCCCACAGCATTCGATTATAGTGATGGGCAGCGAACTCCTGAACAACTTGGGGGTTTTAGAGGTGGGCCACCTAAGTTGGTGGGCCCAGGGCAACTTTCCTGTTATTAAAGGTCACTTTCCATTACTGTAGTATGTTCATAGGGATACTTCCTCTCAAATTGCCCACTGCACCATTTATAGTGATTAAGGCTCCAGGACTATTGGGCACTGATAGCGGGTCCTCCTAACCTGGTGGTCCCAGTGCAAGTGCACCATTTTTACTATTAAACTGGGCCAGTGGAAGCCACGTAAGGCACCTCTAAGTTATGTGGTTCTACTTGCACCAATGAAGGTCACTGCCCATTGCCGTAATCAGCACTGAGGGACCTTTTTGCTTAAATGTTCCCCTGCACCAGTTATGGCAATGGTAAGACTCCAGGGGCACTGGGGGCTCTGATGGTGGGTCTTCCTTACCTGGTGGTCCCAGTGCAACTGCACATTTTTTACCATTAAACCGGACCTGTGGAAGCCATGCAAGGTACCTCTAAGTCATGTGGTCCTGCTAGCATCAATAAAGGCCACTGCCCATTGCTGTAATCAGCACTGAGAGGACCTTCCTCTGCAAGACCCAAATACAGCAATGGGTGAGAGACTCCAGGACTACTGGTGGGCCCTTCTAACCTGGTGGGCCTAGGGCAAGTGCACCATTTTTGCCATTAAACTGAACCAGTGAAAGCCACATAAGGCACCTCTAAGTCATGTGGTCCTGCTAGCACCAATGAAGGTCACTGCCCATTACCGTAATCAGCACTGAGGGACCTTTTTGCTTAAATGTTCCACTGCACCAGTTATGGTGATGGTAAGACTCCAGAGGCACTGGAGGCTCTGATGGTGGGTCCTCCTTACCTGGTGGTCCCAGTGCAACTGCACAATTTTTACCATTAAACCGGACCTGTGGGACCCACGTAAGGCACATCTAAGTCATGTGGTCCTGTTAGCATCAGTAAAGGCCACTGCCCATTGCTGTAATCAGCACCGAGAGGACCTTCCACTGCAAGACCCTACTTCAACAAATGCAGCAATGGGTAGAGAGACTCCAGGACTACTGGAGGCTCTGATGGTGGGTCCTCCTAACCTGATGGTCCCAGTGCAACTGCACAATGTTTACCATTAAACCGGACCCGTGGAAGCCACGCAAGGCACCTCTAAGTCATGTAGACCTGCTAGCATCAATAAAGGCCACTGCCCATTGCCATAATCAGCACTGAGGGACCTTTTTGCTTAAATGTTCCACTGCACCAGTTATGGCGGTGGTAAGACTCCAGGGGCACTGGGGGCTCTGATGATGGGTCTTCCTTACCTGGTGGTCCCAGTGCAACTGCACAATTTTTACCATTAAACCGGACCTGTGGGACCCACGTAAGGCACATCTAAGTCATGTGGTCCTGCAAGCATCAGTAAAGGCCACTGCCCATTGCTGTAATCAGCACCGAGAGGACCTTCCTCTGCAAGACCCTACTTCAACAAAATACAACAATGGGTAGAGAGACTCCAGGACTACTGGGGGCTGTGGTGGTGGGCCCTCCTAACCTGGTGGGCCTAGGGCAAGTGCACCATTTTTGCCATTAAACTGGACCAGTAGAAGCCACGTAAAGCACCTCTAAGTCATGTGGTTCTACTAGCACCAATGAAGGTCACTGCCTTTTCTCTTAAATGTTCCACTGCACCAGTTATGGTGGTGGTAAGACTCCAGGGGCACTGGGGGCACTGGAGGATCTGATGGTGGGTCCTCCTTACCTGGTGGTCCCAGTGCAACTGCACAATTTTTACCATTAAACCGGGCCTGTGGAAGCCGCGCAAGGCACCTCTAAGTCATGTGGTCCTACTAGCATCAGTAAGGGCCACTGCCCATTGCTGTAATCAGCACCGAGAAGACCTTCCTCTTCAAGACCCTACTTCAACAACTACAGCAATGGGTAGAGAAAGTCCAGGACTACTGGTGGGCCCTCCTAACCTGGTGGTCCCAGGGCAACTGCACAATTTTTACCATTAAACCGGACCTGTGGAAGCCACGCAAGGCACCTCTAAGTCATGTGGTCCTGCTAGCATCAGTAAAGGCCACTTCCCATTGCCATAATCAGCACCGAGAGACCCTTGCTCTGCAAGACCCAAATACAGCAATGGGGTAGAGAGGGTCTAGTACTACTGGTGGGCCCTCCTAACCTGGGTGAGCCTAGGGCAACTGCCTTGTTTTTATTGATAAACGAGACCCATGGAAGCCACACAAAGAGCACCTCTGTGTAAAGTGGTCCTACTCTAATCCATTTGAGTCCCAATATGGAGAGACACACAGCAATAAATAACCTGTGAAGTCCCGGCTCCCGTACAATAAGAGGTCCAGACTTGCCCAAGGCAGTTGTTGTGTTCTCATGTGTCCACACAGGAGTGCATGGAGGTTGTCTTAGCTATTACAGCCCCCCGGGGCCCATCTATGGCCCCTATTGGATAATGCGCTTTCCCTTCATTGCACCAGTAGCAGCACCCATCATCTAGACGAGGCTTTCCTCGTGAATACGTTCGATCTTTGAGGCCTTTGTGTAGGAGACATAACAAGGACCCCGGTTCTCCTCGGGGTAGTACAGCTGCACCCCCGGCTTGATGTCTTCTAGGGTCAAATTAAATATACATCATTAAAAAAAAAGGCAGATATACAAAGGAACGCAAACTCAGCATCGTCATCCTCCTCCCCGCACACCCCGACACCGCAACACAAACAAAACACGCAGGCACACGCGTAAACTGCTGACACAGAAAAGCACGGGAGACAGAACCAGGAGCCTACATAGAAAAATTGGTGGATGGCGATGCACAAGGTGACACCGCTGGCGTGTCACGCACAAAGGAGTCACCTAAACAGGCACAGCCATATCCAAGAGCCCTTTTTATGTGGCTGGCAGCCTACAGCTGTCACCTCTCCTCTGACAGCACAAGGACACGGCGCAGCCTGCCCATCCCCGTCCCCTATTATCCTTACCTCCGGGGCCCTACAGTCCCCCGGCACGGCTCCTTTCTCTTCCTAACATGGCTCCTTGTGTGGATCCTTCATCACATTCCTGGCAGAGGAGAGGGAAGACAGCACCATCCCACCATCACACAGCCCTGCCAGTGCAGCTGTTGTGACGTCAGCTCAGCCTCTGCCCAGGGAGATGATGGCTGGGGAGACCAGAGGGAGAGGAGTGGAGGGAGAGGAGAGGAGGGAGAGGCTGCAAGGTAGCAGAGGATGCAGAGGGAGAGGAGAGGCGGGGAGGATGGAGAGGAGGCGCACAGGCTGCGTTAACTCCTTCCATCCTCAGCACTTCACCACCAGGATCTCTTACATAATGACACATTGTGCCGTACCAGGCCTGGTGTTGTCACCTAGTGCCAAGCGTTGTCACTGTGGCGTCACAAAACTAGCCATTGCAAAGAATTTATTTATTTTTTTTTTTTTTAAAATTTATTTTATCTTATCTTTATCTTATTTCATATCTTATTATTTTTTTTTTTATTTTGTTTTATCCTATTTATTTTTTTTGTTTTTCTGTTTATTTTTTTTTTTTTTATATATATATTATA